TTGCTTTTGTCCCTGATAGTTTTTTTGCAGCAAGTTTAGTTCCTGCTAACTAATCTGTACAACTGACAGCTTAAAAACCGCACAAGCTTTAAGCATTGTCAGAAAACAGTAGGGTACTAAATAATATTACACCAACCCTCCCCCTTTCTCCACAAACCTGTATAGTAGCCTAGAAGAAAAGCAAAAAGAGGCACCAAGGGACAAACCAAGTTTTTCCGAGTGAGACGTTATTGCAAGCAGCATCCAAACAGCATCCGGTCTTAATTTATTCAAACCATCCGGCCTCCTTTGCTGGAAGCTTGTCCTCGCAGTGGGCCTGCAATATAGCAATAAGGCGAAAAGTCATACATGGTGACGACCACGTATACGGAGCTCATATATATTTTCTCTGCAAGCACTAAATAAAAAAATCAGTTCAGAATATTGAATCGACCTTGTGGCTGGTTATGAAACAAAAGGACGATAAAAAATAACGAAGCAGCACCAATCTCCCAGTGGGCATATTTGATTAATGGGCCAACTATGAACTTGCTTAGTGCACATATACTGCACCGTTCAAGACCAAGAGAGACAGACAGAAGGACAAATGAACATGAAATCTGTCAGATTCTTTAATAATAAAGCGAAATCTTTGTTGCCATTGTTGAGTGAGTTTTGGTGTGGTTCCGCGTGTTATTGAAGGTAAGAACGAATACCCCATGGTAAGTAGCACAAAATTTAGTTGTGTTGCAATTGTGCAAAACTACAAGAGTCTACAGGGAACGCGCTCATCTGCTCGTCTGTGTACTTCTCCAAATGCCCTTACTCAGCGACCGCGGTGCAAGTGCAGGAACGCAAACATCTGCCAGCAAAGGAAGATGCGAACGTGAGCGTCTGTTGGTGGTTTACGGGCCTGGAGTTTCCCGCTACGAATGCGGCGAAGGCCTCGGAAACCGATGAAACACAAATAGTGAATGCATGCAGGAGTACACGTTCGACAAGTCATATCGTTCGAGTGGTAAACTGCGCTTCGACTTCGAGAATATACAAGCATACTCAAGATAACCAGCTCCCGCATACATAACGCGACGTAGCCCAACGAAGCCTGACCCATTTTTTTACTGTGCAAGTTGGCATGCTTACTTTGCTCAAACTGCTTTTTGTCGCATGACTAATCAGCCAATTCCCGAAACATGCAGCGATATACTCAACCCGCTCGCAATACAACGGGTACTCACCTCACAAAGACGGGGACAAGTAGTCGGCTCCAAGCAATCTCGCTTCACTTGTGTAATCCAGGGTTTGCGTTGACTAGATCAAGTCGAGAAGCGAGACAGTCTCCAGATAGTTTTGTATTGCGGCACGCAGCACCCTGGCATTCGCACTCGAAAGTTCTTGTAGGTACGCTCAGTGCGAGGATGGTGCCGTAGCGGAAGTCGGGTCTACGGTGTATACAGTCAAACGCAGCTCGTATACCGCAGCTTCCACACGCGCGCCAACATGCAGCTGATGAAGAGCGGAGAAGCAGGAGCGCCTGGCCGCAAGAACCAGCATGACGCTTGTTGCGATGCAAACCGGTCTGGCAACATTGTGTTTTAGCAGGCGGCTGCAAGTGGTGGGTCAAAGGCTGACACTACCCTAAACCACGGAGACGTGCGCACATGAAGGCTTCGTAAGGCTGTCTAAGTTTGTGCCGGTGGCTATCGGATGAAACACTAACGCTGCTAGGGTGAAGGTATGGTGAATCATGTGCGGCCGACAGCGCAGCAACACCTGCCAGTCATCGCACGCCCACCAACACGGAAAAGAAAATTGCACGCTCAACCAAGCTAGTCCCGGCCAAATCCACACAATTCATAGCAGACAAGCAGACGCTGCTGTGCCACATCAGTTCTGTCGCTTCGACTTTATGAATATCAACTTAGCACACGTATTATTATTGATAATTTTGGTAAGTGAGGTATAAAATAAATTTGCAAAGCATTTGTGAAACTCTCAAGCCTGTAAATTGGCATGAATGACGCTAACGTTGAAATGGGCATTTCCAGTGAATTTTATCGATATACATTTACCTCGAAAAATCACTAGAGCTTGCCTTTAACGCTACCACCGTAAAGAAGAAATGACCAGTAATATACACGCCTGTTGTGCCATGTCAGGCTGTTGTCCTATTGTTTCGTTGACAATGACATGCAGCATTTTCATGGTATGTGCTTATACTTCCAAACTGCGCACATAAGAAAGTTGCAGCTTTCCTAATCAGAAATAGATTACAAGCATTCCGACGTTATGCCGATATTTGTAATATAGTTTTGAAGTAGATGAGCGATGTATCACCTACTGTTATCCATTCAGCAGAAATGTCTATGCCAGCAGTAGCAGAAAATATGCTGCTCAGCTGCTTGTAACACCTCCCTCCTCCTCGAAAATTTCTAACTTGAAGTCTGTATGGCACGCACACGTACAAACACAGGTACTAACATGCCTAAAGTTGACCCAAACCACCCCTCCTTCTCCTCACCGAAACTCCACGCATTATATATATATATATATATATATACAACGAGAGCTTCACCCACTCGTTCAGATTCTCGTCGCAGAGATGCGTGGATTTTTCGGTGAGGAGAGGGAGGGGTGGTTTATATATATTTATATATATATATATATATCATCAAGAATTATAAATGTTACGAGTTTCTTAATTATGAATTTTACACATCTATATGAGCCTCCCCATGACGGACAAGCCTCAGCCCTAAAACATTGCTGCCCACACCCCTTGTAGCTCTATAGCATTCTGAAACATTTATTTCAGCTTTATTTTCTGTAAACACGCATAATTCTTACAGTTAGCTTCAAACTTTCTGGTAGGGGTAGCCTATGTAGCAGAGCGAGCCTATTGAAGTCCACGTTTTTTCTCTCTCATTTCTAGATGCCATAGCTGCCAACGACTTACGCAGAAGAAGAAAATGAAAAATGATGTTCACGCGGCTATCATGAGCACTACAGCTATGCAGTGCAATATTCCGCAACATGTACAAAGCTATCACGCTCTTTTTCATTTCGTCTTGAACGCTAATAAGGATTGTTGTCCTCGTTTAGTTGGGAGCATGCTGAACAGAGCAGAAACACTTAAAAGGGCTCTAGCTGGATCAACTAACATTTGACATCCACGCTCAGTGCAATCTAAATGCACTTAAGCTAAAACAACACTTGGATATAATCAACTATGCCAGCGGCTTTTCACACTCAAGTTAGGTGAAATTAGCTCAATAAATATACCCTTTCATATAGTCTTAAATTTTACTGCTGTGGTTCAAATAAAATACTTATGTGTATTATCGTGATCCTAAAACGCATACCATACACTTCGAGACGCAAACCCTGATGTGATCTCGAAAATCACAGCTTTGCTGCTTGAAGCTCCCCACGTGCTTTACAGACAGGCATGTTTTTGGGAGGAACGGGAAATGTCATTGGAGGTGTACTTTAGACGAAAAAGTAAGGATCATTGTGTTTCAAAGCACTCCGTGGTTTTGTATGAAAATGAAAGATCTTTGCTTGGGCCAAAATGTCGGTGCTTCTGACTGGTTTACCTGTATCTCTCTGTCTCTTTTTTTGTTACTTTGTTGATTTGAGGCTGGTTCTTGCATCACTTGTACATTTTGGCACATATATATCATTGCTTATCATTGCTCTTGCGTGCCATCTTGCACGTATACAAGCTGTTCAGTCACGCACAACCAACCGTATATATATATATATATATATATATATATATATATTTATTATTTATTTATTTATTTATTTATTTATTTATTTATATATTTATATATATATATATAGGCAAGTAGATCCTCCGTGAGCGGTCACAACGTGATTTAGACCGCTCACGAAGGATCTACTTGACTATATAAAACGCTACGGCCCCTCAACCATTATGCCTGACTCTATATATATATATATATATATATATATATATATATATATATATATATATATATATATATATACCTTTATATATATATATATTTATATATATATGTATATATATGGTATGTGCGTTTCTCGAGTGGACATGTATGCTAGAACAGCACCAAACATTTGCCGTTCGTTAATATGAGCATGCTGAGCGATTCTCTCGTATAAAAAAGAATGGTGTGTGTTATCCCGCAGCAATGGTGTGTGTTATCCTGCAGCGTACACCCGCCCGATTTTGAACACCAACGCAAAACTAGGTTCTGAAACATTTGAAGAGCAATTGCTAGGGCACAGTCACAAAAGCAAAAAAAATAGTGAACGCATGTGGTCATATGCTGAGCGCCCACCGTTTTGTCAAACACGACATTTGAGTTAACGTTGCTGACGCTCTTCGAAATATTTTATAAGCCATAGCACTCTGCACTCGGCTATCTTTACGTGCGGGTTCACTTGTACTTTTCGCGCATGTAGTGAAATGCTTTTCGAGCTACTTGGCCATTGTCCGTTCCATACCATACTAGAGTTTCTTGTTGACAACTTAACGCCGAGGGCACGTAGAGTCTGAGCACTCTGATAGAGATGCCTGAACCGCTTTGAGTCAGAAAAGACAGCTCGAGTGACCCAATGCTAGAATAAAAGTTTTCACAGATACCGCTTTTAGCGTGTTGTACATCTGTATTCTCTCCTCCATATGAGATTTGGCCAGAGTGTGGTTGTTAACAGATAAAGAATGTGCTGAAGTAAATTGCTTATTCCTTATTAACTGGTTACACAGCTTCGCCGAAATACGCGCGACTTTTTCCGAACCGAGCAGGACAGTCAAGCCTGACAAAAAGCAGTTGTATATTAGGTTGTAGCCTGGGTAAGTAATAAAGTTTTCGTAGTCTCGTATGTGAATAAATAGTACACATGCATTAAAACGAGGTATATTCTTCATGATTTGTGCCGGAAACGCTTCAACCAAAGACGTATGCAGTGCCTGTTGCGATTGAACTGTGATCGCGGAGGTTGTTCGTGCACGAGGCGATGTGGAATCTTACCTCTCGTTCGGAAGCGGTGGTCGCTCTCGCAAAAACTGGTGATCCCTCGGGTGGGTGACGACGACCAGGTCTAGAAGCACGTGTACCCGGCGCTTTTATACGCGCCTGCCGGATGGCGTGCCGCCGGCGCGACTGAGCGACGCCGGATTAGTTGCTACGGGAGCAGCGCCCACGTCACCCTGCCTAGAGAAACTCTCCTCAGACTCCCTAGTTCCCTAGTGATACCTAGACACCAAGCGAACCATCCAGGTATGAAGGACGGACAGAGAAAAACGTGTTCATTGGCTTGTGCTGTGCTTTCTATCTTTAATCAAGGAATCTTACACTGTCTCCTAAAAGCTGCTGTCACAAACGAAGAACGATCAGGTGTATGCTGACAACTCATTTCAAAAGCCACCTGTCACACAGCGGGTACGTAATGCTCACTGGTATCTAATAGTACAACTTGGTAACACGCTAAGCATACGGTGACAGACGAGGCACATTAGGCTATAGTGCTTTTTCTTCGTTCACTCTTGGCCTAGTGAGTTTTTTTCTTTTCTAACACTGTGCCAAGATTCCGAGCTGGCGTTGTTTCCCAATTGGTCAATTTTGAGCTGGGTGAAAACAATCCACTGGTGTATTGCAATATGCTTGGTCGAAATGTTCATCAATGATATTCAAGCTTGTCCTCACATTCTAGATTTCTACTTCAACGGCGAACATTAGGTACAGTTGAACGCTTAAGAATTCCACTTTTTCTCAATACAGAGACGCTTATGTGCACATCTAAAGGTTGCAGACACTAGTTGATGAGAAGCATCTTTGACTTAAACACGTTTGCGCTATCGTTCCGCATTTTAAATTTATTTTCCTTGAGCAACACTCTTGGTAGGAGAAAGCTTATCGCTTAGTAAAAACCCGGGCCCTAAGGGCACCGATTCTTGTGTCAAGGTTTGGCAGCTCCAACCAGCAGTCAAAATAACCCGCTGGCCTGGAAGCGTGCCAGGCTCCTTTCCCTTAGATTTTGCCGCACAAAATTTCTCTCTCTACCCGTATGCACTGTAGCGACACCACTACCGAAGTGCACCCTTAAGCGAGTCGTAATAAATGGTGACAAGCTCATCCATGCGAGCAAGGAAGGTTAATAACTCCCCGTCATGCAAAAGGCTTAATCAGAGTGCTTGTTTCTCTAGCGGTTACTGCTGACAAATTCTGACGTGTCCAAAGCGCTGAAGGTAAACGGCGAAGTCATCCATCGTGACAATAAATGGCGTTGAAGGTAAACGTCGAAGTCATCCATCGTGACAATAAACGGTGCTATCAGCTTGTGAGAGCTGAAAACATTTGTGACACGTGCGCCTTAGTCGACTTCTAGGCAGCGTGGGCACAAGTGTTCTGAGTGACATAAAGCCTCAACTCCAGGACCTTCTGCTCGAACAGTTTTTTTTGCTTAACTACTCTTTCTCGCGCTGCCTTTTGCTCCTGCTCAAAAGGTTGCACCTCTAGCATTATATCTTTTTTTTCGCTAAAATACGTACTTCCGCCTCACTCATCGCACAGTTTCGGTTGCTCTTCCTCCACCCACGCTGATTTATAAGCTTCAGCGTTGGCTTTAGATTTTATTGGCTAATCCTGGCAGGCTCGCCAAGTGTGAAGGTTTGTCGGCCCAGGCGCTCAGCCAACAGGAGAAGAGACGTAGACGAGTACAGTACATCTATATAAAACACAGTGAGTTGTAAATACCACCTAAATGAGTTAGTGCACAGACGTTCATTGAACGCATACGTTGTAATTATATAGCAGCAATATATCGGCGAGGCACAGCTGACGAATAGTGCAATCAATACACGCCGTGTTCTGCCGCTCACGGGGTTTCGGCACCATGGCCGCCGTCGCAACAAAATGGTGTCTGCATTGTTCCGTTCTGGGGGTTCTAGTAATGCAACAGAACAGAATGGGCGTGTCAAATGACAGTCTTCCACGGAGCGCAGCACTGACCGACAGGCAGGCGGTATGGCACAGGCGGTAGTGGCTGACGACGAAACTGGGCGGTGAAGCGTCCTGGCGCTGCACCATCGCAGTTTGGACTGTGTCGTCGCAGCTAACAGCATGTGGCTCTGGTTGCACTAGTTCAGATGCTCCCAGTGATTTCTATATTTTCTGGCGTAAGACATCAGCAATCTAGTCGACTGTAGGTTGCAGTTCCTCTTACATGATCGCTCAAATCGCCGCGTGGAGGTCGTCAGATTGTAGCGCTAAAGCCTCCTCACTAGGCGTCGTGGGAATGCACCAATTTTACGGCCTGGTACGCACTTCTAGTGCACTTTCGATGGATGATGCTTCCGGCAGAAATTCAGAGACCTCCTTAGGCAGGTTTCAAAACACTGCGGAAATATCTTCCTTCCATCCCAGCATCAGAAGACAACCTTTTTTTTTTCTTCGGGCATAGAAGGATTTATGTGTTGAAATTGGCGAGTCATTTCTTCGGCGTAAAGCCAGACATCGGCAGCGGTAAACGGAACTCCAGGAGAGAATTGATCTTTCCTTTGCGGAAGAAGTCCCAGGATCTGACTTCCATTCGCGACCCAAAACATCGCGCTATCCCTAGGGGAGAATAAACGCAGCGACGCTTCTCTATAAACGGAAGGGTGAGCAAATTTGTAGTAACATGACTTTTTTCTGGTGCTCGCACGCTGTCTTTTAGGATGAATGCATACCGACAAGTTCAGCTCAATGTTGTTCAAAGCTTCTTGTCTAGGTCTCAGTTGAACTTGGTGACCCACTCTTTCGCATCCAGCCAGCTTCCCCAAAGCTCGCGTTGTGATAACCGCAACGTTCGTGGCTCACTCGGCCGATGCAAGATGACCTTAGGCTTTGGCGCACTGTCTGTAATCACCTCTGTAGTATATTTGGTAATCATAGATTGCCGGGTGGTTTCGGGAAGTACCGCTTCGAGATTACACCTTTCCCAAGCACACTAGCACCCTCAAGAGGTGCGCAAGCACTCATTAGAAAAGTTTGTACGTCGCAGCAACCGTCGCGACAAGCGCGCGGGCTTCACGCTTGAGCTTCTTGCTTGTGCGTTGCCACAATTCTAAAATACAACTTCTTGCCGCGTAAGTCAATCACGAAGCTCAGTGTTTCGCTGCGACAACGTTTCTTGCCGTTTTCGTCTCTCCTATACTGCTGTACCAACTGAGTGGCTGAGTGAAGTATTATTAATAAAGAAAGGAAGAAGAAGTGGTTCTCTTCAGTCGCTGTTACTGTGCGTGATTCAGCTTTTTCTCTGTTTTCTTTCACTTCAATACCGACGTCAACTTCTTATTCCGTGTTCTGATGTCGTGTGAAAACTCCGTGGGCCGAGCGCTTAAAGGTACGACGACATGTCTTTATTGAATACTTGGCTAATACGCTACCACTACGGTGGTAGGCAGCCATCCCCACGAGCCGTATGCTCGTCCCAGTGTGTCAAGCCATATATGAGTGATGATACAGGAGAAAATGGCCTGAGGGCTTACAGGTGTGACAAAACATCATAAAACCAGCATGTCTAAATGTCCACAAGCACGAAACGGCTGCAGCGAGTTTAGAAACAATGGACATAACAAATCAGAGAGCAAGAAGTCTCGCTTACAAGACAAGTTTGATAATAGGACGTTAACTTATGACTTAAGTGATGAAGAGGGGATGAGCGATGATGAACCTTTTAGGTTATTAACGTATAAGAACAACCAAGCGGAGGGCATCTCGTGGTTGTCTTTCGTCCAACAAGCCAAACGTGCTAGTTTCTGGAAAGTCACCCCCAATCGAGCGTCAGGCAAAACAGTCTCCGCTATTAAAGGTAAAGTACAGAGTTCGTCTGTACCTGTGAGCAAGTTTCGTGCGTCACTCGTGCGTGAGAAACGCGCGGCACGTTTTCATTTGCTTGCCATTCTGTGCGTGACCTACCAATTTGTTGCTATTGCGTTCATTGCTTCGCCTTTGTGGCAAAGCTGTGATTTTTATTTAAGTATTTATTTATGAATTTCTTATGTACTGCTAGCCTTAGAAGGCTGTAAGCAGGAGTGTGGGGATAAAAAGGTGAAGGATTACAAGCATGCTACGCAAAAAGGGGCGAAATCAGCACGCTGCGCACTGAGTAAATTTCTACAGCATAGTATCAGCATAATATTATTCACAGTATTGCATACCTGCACTATAACCAAAATGTTCAAAATGCCATCATTGCACAGTCAACATTCTATAAAAAATATGTCGATATACAGATAGAAATATACAAAGAAGCATTGACAAAATACATCAGTAGATTCACATTGTTGTTATACAATAAAAATGAGCCTTACGTCTGACAGCGAAATGTGATGTGGTCTTGCGTTCCACAACATTGGCTAGGTGCCCATTTCATTCTTTCACCGTTCGTAGGAAAAAGCGTTGTGAAAAACACCTACTAGGAAGTTGCAGTCTCGTGGTCTTTTTAGTGAAGATAGAGTGGCCTTAACTTAGGAACAGGATAGATGAATTGGTTTTTTCTATTTCAATTGTGCTGTGAAAGATCTTTGTTGTGAAAGACACGAGTATGTCAATTTGTAACCAATGTTTAAGGATTTTCAGTTCCACCTTTTCCCCTGGCGTACTTGTGGATGTGTGCCAGCTGTACATATTAAAAATGAAGCGTACCACTTTTTTTTGGGGGGGGGGAACTTCCAAGTGCGGAATGTTTCTTTTCGTGTGCGGGTCCCATACGGCTGATGCGTATTTGATGATTACTCAAATGAACGTTTTACAAGCAAATAGTTTTATGCATTGAGATGGTTGGCGAAATGTTCGTTTTACTTGTCGTAGTTAACTTATAGCTTTTTTTATGTAATACACGTGTTCGTTCCGCCGCAAATTGGATGTCAGAATGACGCCTACAAATTAAAAAAAATAATTCTGAGTTAGAGCGGTACCTAAATTGTAGTGGTGAAAGCTTTATAGTTATCCTCAAGAGAAGTGTCTTTCAGGGGTTAATTTTCATCTCCCAAGTTTCACACCAGTTTTCAATGCATTGAAGAGCTTCATTCAGTTGGACATGAGTGGGAATGTCGCCAACTTTGTGATTAATTACGCAATTATCTGCAAATTTTTTGATTTTGAGA